GCAAAAGAAGCTTTTAAAATCAGCTTTTTAAGGACACCAGAGAAAGACTAAAGCTCTGCAGTGTTCAAATAGGATGCATGGACGATACTCTATGGCACTATGTTCATTTGAAGATCAACTGATTCAGTGATGTTCTGTCTTCTACACAAGAAGATTTGAGCAAGTTGGCTTGAAAAGTGTCAATGTTTGCCCTGCTGTATTTTCATTTGGGGAACTTAGTCAAAAAGATGGATAAATCATTGATAATCATTAGTTTAATAAGTTTGTGTCAGTTTTAATACCCAAAATAAGTGGCCGAAGAAGAAATGTATTTAAAATGTTTGCTTTTGTCATGAATCAAATCAGGTTTCTTATGCAGTGAATCAAACTGTCTATACCACAACAACTAAATCACACAATACTAATCAGATTTTTGGAATCACCCAACCCTGCAGAGCTAGTTCCACCAATGGCACCAGGATAGTAATTCATGGAGGTGCTCATATTGTTTGAGTTGTTAAAGTAGCAAAAACAGCCAATTTGATCAAGATCTTACAGTGCATTATGACAATTATATTACTTTGACTGAAAAAGCATCCTTGTGTGAGAAATTATTAGTTTTGGTTTTGACAACTAAGCAAATAAGTAATCTGTGTCAATTTGGCAACACCCTTTTCAAGGAAACAGGACTATAATATCAGTGTGGTGTATCTCGCTTAGCTGAATCATTTGACATCCACTGGGTACCCAGTGATTACAGAAATAATTGAAATCTTTGGTGGTTAGGTTTGAAATGTAGATAAACTCATTGTTGGTATAAATTAATGCATTACACACTGTGTGGCAGTGATGTTACAGAGGTGGTAATTTGATGTATTTTCAAAGGTTAATAATGACAGCAGCAGAATGTATTTTACACCTGCGTTATAACATGGATATTTTGTCCTTATAAATTTTTGATAATGTTTATTGCATTTACAAATTTTACACATGGCTAAATGCATGTTTCAAATAACCGCCTAACAGGGCTGGGCTTTCTCATCTTTCTTTTAAAACTGCATTAACAAATGGAAAAATATGCAGTCAATTACCAAACTTATTTCCATGAATTTGCATATGAGCACTTAATCACACAAGGCGCTCCATCCACAACAGTGCGTCTGACTGACACTAGAAGAATAGGGTTAGGCCTGTTCATGCACACTGCACATTTGACTGGGATGACTGGAAGTGCGTTGCTACATCTGTCATGCTTTACAAAACGCTCTGCTGCTTTAAACAGAGTGGAAAGATAATATAGTGGAGCCTATCACACGGCCCGCTGGAAATAATTAATCCAGAACACACTACATTCTTCAGAGGTGGAGAGCAGCCAATAGTAAATAGCGTGCAGGCCTCATTTGGTGGTTGGTTAATGTCTTTACCTGGAGAGATAATTACGTACAGTAAGTGGGTCTGTGGGATTCTGCTGTTAACTTGGATGCTACAGTTGACGAACACCCACCACTTTTATTATTTTCATTATGCCTCTACGCCTTTGTGTTTTGTGTTGATATGGACGGACCAAGACATGGGGGCTTTAGACATAATTTATCTCCTATATATAACTCCTTCCTCGGACCTAAATCAAAACAAAGAAAACAATAGTGGCAGCCAGTATGCTTATTGATGTGAGATCACCCATTAGGGGCCTGAACAATCATGCTAAATATGACTCAGGCACAGTTCAGACTTGGTGTAGTTCAATAAAGCTAACAAACATAAACTGTAAACAAATAGGTGTGTTAACTTCACTGGAGTTAGTGCCTCCCTTAGACTTAGACAAACTTTATTGATCCACAAGGGAAATTACTTCAGGCAGATATAAGGCAGTGTCCACCTGCAATCTGACCAGAGCTAAAGAAGCCACTTGGATGAGCGGCAAAACGTCTTCACTAAAAAACCTTTGTCCATTTGACAGAAATGAAGTTTTCGTTTGCTACCGCTGAGCATAGTCATATCTTCATAAAACATTAGAGTACTGTGTGTTCCGAATACCAGGCAACAGAATTAAACAGAGATACTCTTTGATATTCAAAGGCCTGATATTAATTTGGAGAAATCAACAGCGAAATTAGGACACTTGTGAGGCAGTTATTTCTCAGCCGCAAAATAAGCTATTTAACCATGAAACTAAGGAAAGAGCAAACGAAAGAGAATAAATGAGGGAAAATACATAAATATAATCAAAATAATAAATGGTTTTCCTACATGGACTGATTTGAAAAAAAGGGAAGTTTAAGTAAGGCTGAGGATTCATATATATATATATATATATATATATATATATATATATATATATATATATATATATATATATATATATATTATACAATTTTATTATTATAATTTTTTTTTTTGTCAGCTCATGGAAATTTGTCCATTTGACCTATCCTTTAATGCCTCTGGGACAACCTCTCAGGAGCTGTGGACGCCCCCGAGAACCATATCCAGACCTTGATCTATAGGCTTGGTCAGGACTACCTGGAGGATTTTACCTATTTTGCATGTATTGGGTTGATGGGGGATACCTGAGTGCCTGGAGGAAACTCTGCACACAAGTCAAACATGGAGCTTTCTGTCTGTGAGGCAAGAGTGCAAGTCACTGCCAAGACACACAGAAATAATATGTGACTATCAATTTGAAGGATACTTTTAATTGGTAAGTGCCACCCAGCACTTGAGAATTTTAAAGTAGATTGACTTTTCAGAGCTTTTATTGGCGAGGGATATTGTTCTTCGTTGGTTTCTTTATTACTATTCTTATTCCCCACATATAATCGCATTTTTGACCTCCCGAACATTGACGAAAAGTCCCCAAACCAGGTATCAGATCGATCGGTCTGGCGAAAAATTCAATAAAATGGGAATTGCAACAATGCCCAAAGTGACCCCACTCAACAGTGCCCCCTTGAAATTTCTAAATTTTGAAATGAATGGGAGGCTGAGACGCAAAGACGCTGGCGAAAAACGCCTTCATTTCCTGTTTATTTGGTGACCTGTCACGGCCACAGGCATTGGCCTGGAGAACTCAAATTCAAATCACAATTGTGTGATCCAGGCCTGAATGTAATGAAATATGAAATCTAATAAAAGTGAACTCTATAGCGCCCCCTAGCATAGACATGAAATGTCAACATTATTGGATTTGTACCAAGTTTGGGGATAAAATTCTACGCATAATTACAAGCAAAAAAGATTATTACGGACATGAGGCATTTTTGATGGTTGGCCAGGAGAGTGCAAAGACTCCCCCAAAAAATAGTTAAAAAACGATTACACCCACAGGCTTAGTCCAATCGTGCTGAAATATGAATCACAAATTCCTGATCACAGCCTGATTATAATACATAGTGTATTATAATAATCAAAGTATATGAAAACTGAACACTATAGCGCCACCTAACATAGACATGAAACATCAACATAATCGGATTAGATAAAGGAAATTCGGGACAATGGTAAAGAACAATGAGAACACTCTGTTACATATATATATATATATATATATATATATATATATATATATATATAAGTATGTATATGTATGTGATGTGCAGCTATATCAGAGTTTGACAGTTCAGTTTTGCAGAAGTTATTTTAGATGATTATTGCAGTTTAAAATGTTGTGATTTAAAATGCGCCAATTGTAACATATTGATCTGCTGGTGTCGTTAATTATAACTATAGCAAGTACATTATTCTTTGGTAGGTCTTTTTAATAACTGAAATAACTAATTTTAGACTAGCTGTTTTTGTCTTGTTTTTGTCAACTATATAAAAAAAAAAAGTGTGGCATTTGTAATGTTCCAGGTCATATTCACTATTGCATTAGCTGATTTAGATAATCGATATATAACAATAACTGCTTGTGCTGGCATGTCTCTCTCAGACTGAAGCCTGTGAGTGTTGTGCTGCATATATTAGCTGCATTAGGTGTTGCTATCATGTGGTGCTGGAGACAGTGTCGGGTTTAAGTGGTGCAGGCTGATGCGATGGAGGCCCGCTGGTCACACAGGTTAATGTAGTATTGACTGGGTCCTAGAGGTGAGGTTAGAGGCTACAGCAGGGCTAACCGAGGGAAAGGTAGGAGCATGCAAAACTGTGGAAGTGCCATCTCATCCACAGATGTGTTAAAGGGAGACATGACAGGGATTAGATTAGATTACTTTAATTATTTTTATGCAGAACAAAAATCGATCTGTTGAATAATATAATTAACTAAAATGGGTGCACTGTGTCATTGCCCTTGTGTTTCTCCTGGTTATCCAATTATACACTGTTTAAATAATGATGCGAGGTGACTAGTCAAATTTACTGTAATTGTGCTATCAAGAGTGAATGGCTGACTCCCCCTCAAATGTGTCTTTGTTATCAATCCTCATAGATGCCGGCTTCTAGCTGACATGCTCGCTAATGGCAATAGCAGGAAAGTGATTGAAATGGCATTGTTTCATTGGAATTCAGTTCAATTTTGAATGTACTATGTGAATGTATGTTTTCTCATTTATTGATTTGCATCTCCGCCTCAGAATGTTAAAGGTACTCTATGTAATTTTATAGTTGGGGGACCAGTCACCTGCTGGTCTTTATGTAGCTCTTGTTGCTTTGAATGGAATGTTCCATAGTATGACATTACATTTCTCTATTTTGCATTTACACATTCGTAAGGTGGGGGCCAACAGTTGTGCAATTAGTAGGTGTTTGGCAGAGCTGTCAGATCCACTGACCCACAGTTTGCAGTGCGATTCCAGCTTCCACAGATGACTGCTGTCGTTGTGTCCTTGGGCAAGACACTTCCTCACCCCGAGTGTCTGTGTACACTGGTGTATGAATGTGTGGTTCCTTGATGAAAAGTGCTTAGAGTGCCTTACTTCAGAAGTCTTACTGATGTTTTACTGTGAACTGGGTAGCCTCTCCACAGACCTGACTTGCACCTATATTTTACTAAATGTGTTTTTTTTTTTCCTCTTCTTTCACAGGACAGTCCACTGATCCTCCAGTCGGACCGTAATGTAACAGTCAATGCCAGGAACGGTGAGGGGCAGCTGACCGGACAGCTCACAATCGGTAAGCCCATTCACCTCAAAGCACCAAAAATGCTGCTTCTTAATATTTTCCTCACAGAGAGCCAATCAGGTTGTTTTGTTTGTGCTCAAGTTCCTAAATGCACTTTAGCTCTTTCTGTTTACCAAACTAAGTGCTATCTATTTCCATTAGAGCATCTCACCGAGGCTGACAGCTGCACTGTTTTTTCAGCCAAATCTGTTTTTCAAGATCTTATTATATTAGACCAAGGGCCCAGTGTCGTGCAGAAGACATCATTCAGAGCAAATATGACTTATCCATCTCCACATCTATAGACAGATTTAAAACAATTAGAGGAGCGCTCTGTGGTGAATCTACTGGATTTGTCTGTGTGTAGAACTGAAGAGAAGGGACTGCAGAAGGGCCACAGAGGATAACTCAATAAAGTATAATTCTGAATTAGGGGAGGATATTGATAGAGTACAACTTTTTAACTCTTACAGTAAGACCAAAAACATTTCAGTTGTAAAATAGAGTTAAAAAATAGATTCCACGAATAAAGGTGTCCTGCGTAACTTTTCTGATGGAGGGTCTGCAATCTGTTGTCTCCATAGAGATGTTACAGTTTTTCCTGGAATGTCCCAGTGTGGCATTAAGCATCTTGCATTTACTCAACAACATGTTGTTTGTTTTTTGTTTTTTTAACTTAAAAACTTGCATTCTTACTGTGAGTGGGCTTGCCTCTCCACACATTTGACATATAACTTGGCCCTGTGGTGTCATCTGCTGTCTCCGTAGAGATAAGTGCAATGTCATACTGTGGAACATTTGAGGCAACATTTACATGGAGAGAAGCAGGTGATGAACCCTCCACCAGAAATGTTGTATACTTCACCTTTAAGGGTTGATGATATTTGTGACCAATGGGATACTTTTCAGTTCATGAGCCACATATGTCTTCTTGTATGAAGATTGAGTGTGTGATTGGTGGGAGGTGCAGACTGGCTGGTCTGGTGGTTGGTGGTTCTGACAGTTTGCCCAAGGACAGATGTGACTAAGTGAGAGGAACAGAGAAGTGAAAATTTTGTAATGTATCAGTTGGTGCCTCTTCTGCTTTTCATGCACGATACATATCTTTTTATAGGCTTTTTATTTTTAAAATCTTCGTCAAATATGCTCACGACTCAGACTAGGAATGCTACAGTGAGGTCCCATAATAAAATAAGCCTGTGGGTTAAAGCAATTTATTTTTGAGCCAAAGTGAGAGAAATAAACACATTTAAAATGCACAGCCGGAGGTTCTGCCTGATGCTACTGCCTTAGGTGTGCCTCTCAGGCCACTAAATAAAGTCACTATATTTCTATGGAAAGTTTGATTATTATAATGGATAATGCTTTCCCCAACTCCTCTGTGACTAGAGCGCCATTTTAATATCTAACAATAGTAATCTATAATGCATGACCAAGCCTGGTAATGACTAAACAAAAAGTGTCTAATAGGCTACAAACTCAGTTTGCAAGTTAATGTTTTCCTCTAATATTAAGTACCAAAGTGTTTTTGACGCTTTATGTCCTTACTATTGTTATGGCATCAACTTCCTCTTGTATGTCTCTAAAACAGAAAAAAGAATATCTGAATATAAGGTGGAACATTTTCATTATAGTTTCATCGACTGATTGTGTGGTCTGTATAAGAGGTGATCTATCTCTTATATTCGCTCTTATTTACACAATCTTTATATTGTGTGGCACAATATAGACATTGTGTTACACTTTTTAGAAATAAATGTGCTGTCCACCAGAATTGCATCCATTGCTTTATGCCTGATCATTGCAGGTACAGCATTTAGATTGTGACAGTTGAGATGAATGGTATTTGGTGCTCGACGCCCCGTATCTGCTGTGTGGTGTACACTGCAATATAGAGATATTTATCAGCAGAACTTGTGTTATTTTCTGCACACATTCACACTCCTTACCTCTCGCCTCTTTGATGGGTAGAATTTCCTGACAGCTCGTCTCCTGCTGTTAAAACTCCCTAAAGCTATATTCCTCACCGAGAGAAAGACTTTAATGCTGGTGGTGTGGACGTGACTGTCTGTGCATGCGGCGGTATGCACTCAATCACATAGAGTATAAATGAGGACTCTGTGACGACTAAATGCCAGTGGCTGTGTTGTTTGTTGTGCACTTACCATTAAGCAGACAATCAGGATTTAGTGTGCCTTCATCTGGCAACAATAAAAGAAGACATAAAAAAGAAATGGTAACTAGCTGTGGGTTGTAGCTATTCTTTTGTTTTAGCCAACAGTTTTTTGTATTCTGGCACATCCCCAAACATAACCTTGAAATATAACATGCTACGTGAAAAATACTGTTTTAAAGAATGCAATTTGGGTGCAGACTTGATCAAAACAAGTTTGGTGATGGAAAATTGATTTAAAATAATAAGACATCTGAGTTTTAATGGTGCTTTTATTTTATTATATTTCTTTATTTTTTGAGTTTTGTTTTTGAGATTTGCTCTGGTTTAGTGCAGCTTTAGATCTCGTCTAGACCAAGTTTAGTTCTAGTTTAGTCCTAGTTTAGACCCAATTTTTATATGGCGTGTGCACAAATGTGGACAAAGATGGCCTCAGTAAAAATGCTATGCAAATGCAGTAAAATAAAACTTAAAGGTCCTATGTTATACAAAATTGACTCTTGGGAGCTTCAAGCCATGTTATAATGTTGTTACCTGATCACAAACATACTTGGTGTATATCTTGTTTCAGTCACACATGTTTGAGTAATCCTTTTTTATTAATCTGCCTACATCTCCAAAGCTCAAAATGCTCTGATCCACCTTGTGATGTCATGTAGCAGTATTTTTTAGTGAAGGTGTATGGAATTTAAAAACACACTCCCTGTATTGCCACATGACATCACAAGGTGGAACAGAATATTTTCTGAGAACAGAGAAGAACTCAGCTTAAATATGCAGGTTTGTGCGTTAATGAAACAAAACACAACTCCAGGTATGATTTTGATGAGGAAACATTATAACATAGATCAGAAAATAGCGTAATAGCCCTTTAAGGTATTTTCATGTGAGTGTCTTGAGTAAAAAAACTGTTATAAAGACTGACTGACTGACTAAAACCTGTTATAAAACACTGAGGAAAAACCTGTTTTAAAGAACACAAATCTTCCCATATAAACATGGGCGATCTTCAGTACTGTGTCACATCGAATCGTACCTTCCTTTCACAGAAGGCGTTCCTTGAGCAGAATTACTCCATTGTGTGAAATCGGAGCCACTTGGACATCGGCACTCAGTGACTGCTGCAGGGCGACTGTGGGAGACCAGGCATCCTCTCATCAAGAGCTTTTGTTTGAGCCTGGAAATCCCCTCAGTCTCCCACCTCTCTGCTGACTCCAACACTCCACAACACCAACAAACTTCTCTATTCTCTCTGGGTTTCTGAGAATAATGAGAAGACGGTTATTTGTGTTTACCAGACATTTGCCACTTAGGGAGGCAGGAAAGTTGCAGCTGACTAAAGCCCTCATTAGTATTCATTACAGAAAGACACTAGAGGACCAGCTCTCCCAGGTCTGAGCAGGAGGTGCAGGATCAGAGCAGCAGCCCAGTGAATATGAGAAACAGATGAATGGTTTCAGAGCCAGTTTACCCAAACAGTTTGCTACTTTAAAAAGCTTTGAGTTATAAAATGGGAAAGACTGGCCTCACCAAGATCTTTTATGCCAGTTAAAGGTGCTTTATGTAACTTTGCTGGTGGAGGGTCCGTCAAATGCTTTTCCTCATGGAGATGTTATTGCTTTGTCTGGAAAGGTTTAAGTTACAGGTCAGATATGTGGAGAGGCAAACCCACTCACAGTCTGTTTTTCTATGTATTTTTGAGCAGTAAACCATCTGTAATTGAATACATTTAAGGTAGAGCTGTTTAAAGTCATACTGTGGAACATTCCAGGCAGAGCAACAAAAAGTTGACCGAACCAGAAAAAGTTTTATTGTCATATTCAGCAAACAACATCCACTAACTACTTTAGGTACGGTGCAATATAAAGCAATGAATATTAATAGAAAATCTAAACTATGATCAAATAAAGCAGACAATAAAGCAGTCAAACTAAGGCCCGGGGGCCAAATTTGGCCTGCAATATAATTATATTTGGCCCACGAGATCATATCAAATATGTATTAGAGCTGGCCCACTGGCTACAGATAGGCTATAGAGACATTATTAATTTAAAATTTTGATATTTTATATTATGCTTGTTCTGGATTCAATGTTTAAGCAAAACTATTATTAAATATTTATTAAAGTATTAAGTATTAAAGGTCCCATATTACACAATACATTCTTGAGAGATTTAAGTCAAATTATAATGTTGTTACCTCCTCAAAAACATACCCGGAGTTGTGTTTTGTTTCATTCACAAATGTTTGCATAACCCTTTATTATTAGACTGTCTACATGTCCAGAACTCAAAATGCTTTGCTCTGCTTTGTGATCTCATGAAGCAGTAGTTTTCAAGTTGACAGCTACATTTTACCTTTAATTCAGTAGAGACTGGCAATTCTAGGGCTGGAATTATTCAAGTGATTCTAGTGAAAATGTATGGAGTTTAAAAACACAGTGGAGCACTTCATTTATTACCACATCACATCACAGATGGAACAGAGTGTTTTCAGTTTGAGAGAAGAACGCACCCTGTAAATATGCAGGATTTGTGTGTTAAACGTGTGAATGAAACAAAACACAACTCCAGATATATTTTTGAAGAGAAAACATTATAACATAGAACAGAAAATAGCTTTCTATGGGCCCTTTAACTAAAAAAATAGACTTTGAATGTACATAAATCCAAAAATGTACAGTATAAACTAGGGATGTAACGATATCCAAGTCCCACAACACGATGTCGTCATGGTATGAACCTCATGGTTCGATATTTATTGCGATATCGTGGAAAAGCTCAAGATATGGTGGGGAGGCTCCCGATTAGGGATGTAACAATATCCAAATCTCTCGGTA